CCCCAAAACCCCAAAACCCCAAAACCCCGTTTAATCTTATTCGTTATTAAATGATGAAATTAGTTATGCATAAATAAAATCAAGATCTCCAATTAGATCATAAAACCAGAAATAAATTGAAGATTTTCAAACTTTTATCAAACTCTATTTGAAACATTTAGCTGTATCTCATGCTGCATATGGCTAACATCCATATTCATACTATCAGAGGGGACTGGTGTATTAGGATCAGCAAATACTATATCCTCATAAATCTGCTGGTGTTTCTTAAACTTGCTAAAAGTACAAAAACAGCAGGAGCACCCGATAGTATAACATATAATTATCAAAGAGCATCTCAATAACACAATAGATTTGATATCAGAAGCCATTCTCTCTTCCTAATCATCATCATCATCATGCTCCTCAGTATCTAAGCTTTAAGTCTCAAATCTTCTAAAAGCTTTCATTATTACTATTATATAGACCAATGAATAGGTAATGCTCATAAAGATTTGCATGATGATCATCATATTAAAATAGTTCTGCATTTTTTAAGTAGTTTATTAAGTAATCACAAGATAGGACGGATCATTTCCATTTTTCCTAAGATTTCTTAAGTTTATTATAGCTTTGCCACAGACAAAGAATAGAGCTAACCCTTATATAAAAGTTAAAGTATCAATCGAGAGTGACAAAAACTACAGAAATATAAAGGTAAAGGAATCAATTTCGAATTTGATTTGCTTTATCTCTTCCCTAACACCTCTTCTTATTGAAGGCCGCCTGTCTGAATATTCTATATGTCTTCCCTTATCATAGTTATATATTTGTTGAATATCATAAACGAAGTTTCCTATCCCGTAAACAACCATCAAAATCGAAGTCATTATCATGAGTATTCCCAAAAGCATCGTCCATCTCTAAGATCTTCGTAAAGCAGATTTATCACTAATCTAATAGTCACTAAGACCATGTGGATTTTGTCCAATTTCTGTTATGATTGTGCTTGCTGCTTGAGAATGATCAAAACTTACTTCATTTTCAGTATGGGTCTAAATTTATTTCATTTCTAGGAGAAAGAACTAATTATTACTAATTTTATTTATTTAATACAAATTTTATATTTGATAGCTTCAGATGGGGTTTTGGGGTTTTGGGGAGATCGGA